CTATAATACATCACAATCTTAAGATGACTTAAGTATGCAATTTTGAATTATGTATTATTAGGAAATGATATTGTAAACTCCGATGTGCCAGGCACTTTTCCACCCCGAAGCACGTGTGTGGTACTGAGAGCTACTGGAATCCAACTTCAGTACCATTCTCAAATGAAACATGCCTTCAGTAGTTTTGGAAACCCATTTTGTAACCAAAGTGGAGTAATCCGATTGTTCATCATGCTGCCATATTTACTATGAGTCTACCTTTACATCCACATGCTTCCTGAGTAGACCATGTTGCTTGGAGGCAGAACGTTCCACTGAAAATAAGCTGCTTTCAATGTCAAGAGCATGGACTTTGAAGTAACAGAGAACCGGTCCACTCATAGATGATCTACTTGCCAGCTAAGTGACCTCAGACAGTTTAGTAATGTCTCTGAGCTCCTTAGTCACTGAATATGGTTGTTCTGAGGGTCACATGACATAATATTTTAAGGGATTTAAATATGCATCTGTTGGGCATTTGGTAAGTGTTTTTAAAATGTCATTGTTATTTTTAACTAAAACAAAGGAAATCAATGTGCTCTAAAGGCAAGGTCAGTCCAGCCTTATACTTGCATTTATACCGTATATTAAAAAAAATAGTGTTAAATGTCTAGTAGAAAGAGTACTGGACCGAGTCCCAAGATATGGGTTTTAATCCTGGCTCTGCACTCCCTAACTTTTTTTTCTTCCTTCCTTAGCCATCATATTCAGTATTTAATATAATAGCATTCTGCTAAATTCTTTCTCTATACTACTTTTTTTACTTAGGCAAAATCATGCATAACCTCGATTAAGTTACTTTTCCTTTCTAGATTCTTCTACAAATAAGAGTATTGAACACCTTCTCAGGTCACCTCCGTAATAGTATCCTAAAGGAAGGCCTTCAACAAAGTGTTTTCTCATTCTGCTAGAATTCCAGGGCTGACAGTCCTAGGATTTTCATGACACAATTAGACACGTTTCCCTCCCTTCTGGAGGTCCCCGTCTTCATTCTGTTTCCGTTACTGTGACTTCCTCTCCCTTCCTCCCCAAAGATCAACCACCTTCACTCAGCCCTACTCTCTCCTTACTAGCCCTTTTCCCATACAGCCTGGCTTTCTCCTGCAGAGTGTTGCTTACCTACTTCCATAGCTTAATTATTTTTATTTTTACACTTTCTGCTCCGTATCAAAGAACCACTATTGGATTAAGAGACCCAAACCAAAGAAATTATTCTGTATTACCTGTTTTCTGTCAAGTCCAAGGGTTGGATTTATTGTCATTTCTTATATTTTGTAGACACCATAGTTGAATGAGATTTCTTAATTTTAACAGAGCTAATGCTTCCAGGAAACTTAATAAAGAGTCTACAGCCATTTTAATAATCAGGAAACGATAGTGAAAATATATCTGTGAGGAGCAAAAATCCATCTACCTCAAAGCCTGCCACCAGACTAAATAATAACGTTCCCTATTCAGCATCCTTTCTCTACCTCAAGATGTCTTGTCAAATGTATTTAATATCCAGGATATTTAATTGACCACAGAGTTAACTCATATATTTGTATTACTTTCCATGCAGAGCTTCGCAAGTCGCCAAGACTTAAAATAATGGAGGTCTAACCTGCAGGTGAATAATTACTTTTTTCCTTTTCATGTATTGTGCTTACTAAAATATACTGATGCATTAATAAATGGCATACCTTTTGTCCTAAATTGTAACAAAATAGCTGTTTTATGGAAGCTTGAGTTGCAGCGTGCGCAGTATTGACATCACGATAGGGAAGTGAGGCATTTTTGTAATTAAGTTAGGCCGTTATTTTTGCCCCCACAACTCAATTTTCTTTCCAATTTTCCAACCCCAATTCAGAATTACTGAACCTGAAACTTGCTGAGAAGAATATATGTACTCAGCTTAATTTCCCCCTTTAATATGCTTAGGGGAACAAAATCCTCTCTTCTTGGAGGAATTCCCACTACACTCCCTGGATTTTTTTCTTCCTTCCACAGCTATCATATTAAGCATTTAATATCTTGGGCATTCTTTTAGATTCATCCTAGATACTGTCTTCTTTACTCACAAGCAGCTTCTGTGGGGGGATGAAGCAACTGAAGCCTAGGGCTCCTACATGCCCAGGGGCACAATGAGGAAGTGGCATTTCCAGAATGCCGGCCTGCTGGGAAGTCCATAGTCACACCTGCCCCATTAGATAAGGCGCTGCACCTAGTAGCTCCCTGAGGGGTCATCAGCACCACGCGTCCTTGGTCCCTGTCGCATTTTGCATCTTGTTAAATCTCATAGTCTGGAGTTTTGGGTCTTCCAGAATTTGGTTCTCACTTTACTAAGCCTATTTTATTCATCATTACCCTTGAGTTTGAATCTTCTCCATCAGCAAGGCTAATTTTTTATTGCCCGGGACACGCCATATTAGCATGATTCACGATAAAAGTCTTATTTAGAGTACTCCTGTTTCAAATTTTCAGGGAGCGGTTGCACTGTTTCTTGGTTTTCATTTTTCCTCCCATTTAATGTGGTATCTTGCAGAACATTCCATATCAGGACATTTAGATCTACTCATTTATTCAAAGACTCAATGGATTCCTTTGCATGGCTCTGCACATCTATATAACCAGTTCTTTTTTGATGGACATTAAAGTTATTTCTAGGATCTTGCTACTGAAAGCAAATTATAACTTCTATTTTGTGTGTATACATATATTTTGTGCACTTGTCTGAACACATTGGAAAACACATTCTTAAGAATAAGATTTGCATGTTCCATTTTGAGAGAGAGTGACCTTGACCCCTTCTATCTTCTAGAAGTCTAAGAGGTTGTTTGTCAAGATCCACATCTTCTGGATTTTGAGTTTTGCCATTGGGTGTCCTTTAACAGCCAGGTTGGGAGTGAGTTTGTTCTGTGGTTCCATGGACTAAGCTTGCACTACACAGCATCCAGTAGCAATTATCAAGAACTGCATGGACCTCCCAAAATCCAGGGATTGCTTGTTTGGGTTTTAGAAAAGGATTAAAACTATAGACATTTATTAAAATTATTTGGTTTAGCCACAAGAGTAATATCTTCTCAAATGGATTTGCATGAAATTGTAAATCTAGGTCTTTTGAGTGGAACAGACTAGATATATATACCAGCCACAAAGCACTTGGCCCGAACGGTCAAATGCAAAGCACGAGGAGAGATGCGTAACTCCATCGGCAATAAACGTCTCTGGAGCAGCCTCGGATCTGGGGCTTGCTGGAGCCTCCAAAGCATGGACTCTGCCAGAAGGGAGAGCTGAGAGTAACCAGGCAGCTCCTGGGACCTGTTCCATCTAGGGGAACCAGGAGAGCAAGGTCTGAGCAGGTGGTGATTTGCAAAGAGGACCATTCTGCTAGGTGGGATACAGCCAGGGAGAAGCTATAAGTGGTCTTGGAAACCAGTAATCATTATCAACATGGCTCCTGGTTTAGTCAGGTCCTGGAAGGACCATTGTTCTCAGTCTTGGCTAGACCCTGAAATCACATGGGAAGTTTTAAAAGCCCTGATGTGGATCGCTATTCCCATTTTTCCACAACAACCCCAATCCCCCTCAAATGCCTCTAAATAATCTGAGTCACATGTGTTCATGACACAGTCTTTTCAGCTTTCATTTAGCTTCAGCCAATTTCTTCCTCTCCTGTTCTATCCGATCCAACAAGAGAATATCCTTTGAATTGGCCTGTGCAGATTACCAGAGTAAATGCCTATGTGGTTTTCTCCAACTTCCTGGTCCCACAGAGACTCAGGTCTGGGGCTCAGCCTGGGCTTGAGCATTTTTTAAAAGATTTTATTTATTTGAGGGTGCCTGGGTGGCTCAGTCATTAAGCGTCTGCCTTCGGCTCAGGTCATGATCCCAGCATCCTGGGATCGAGCCCCGCATTGGGCTCCCTGCTCCGCGGGAAGCCTGCTTCTCCTTCTCCCACTCCCCCTGTTTGTGTTCCTGCTTTCACTATCTCTGTCTCTGTTAAATAAATAAATAAAATATTTTTTAAAAAAAGAATTTATTTATTTGAGAGAGAGAGAGATAGTGAGCACGAGCTGGGGGGAGGGGAGGAAGGGGAGAGGCAGACTACCCAATGAGCAGGGAGCCCGATGCAGGGCTCGATCCCAGGACCCTGGGGTCATGACCTGAGCCGAAGGCAGACACTTAACCGACTGAGCCACCCAGGCACCCCTGGGCTTGAGCATTTTTAAAGCTTCCCAGCTGGTACTGATATGCAGCCAAGGCTAAGAACAAGAGGCTCCCAGAACTGGGAAGAGCTAGTTGAGGATTCAGGCCCCAGCAAAGCAGAGCATGGTGGTCTCCTGTCTATACTGTGAAACTGAAGTAACAGCAAAATGATAGAGATAGAAAGCCAGTTAGGAGACTCTGCCAACCCAGCAGGGCCAGAAAGGGCTACACAGTGCTGGGTAACTGGGGCTGCCTTAAGACCCACTAGAGACCACACAGCAAGACTAACTCAGATCTTATCAGCTCAGGCTGCTAATGTAATTCTGTTCTGACCAAGTTTTGCCAGGAAGCAAATACAGCTCTGCCTGCAAGGGGAGGGCATCAGTAACCCCAGCAGGGAGGGACTAGAGGAAATCAGGACCTGACCTCCTTCTTTTGAAATAATTGGATACTTCCCGTGTCCACAGTCTAAAACATGGTTAGCAGCTCCCACGTGGGGATTTTTGACTGTTTCCACACCTCTTTGTCAATTCAACTACTTTTTCATCATCTCCAGTCTTGAGCTCTATTTAAATGCTAAGGATTTGAATGGTATTAAACATATTACTGTCCATATTCTTACATGATTTTATTCTTGTATCTAACTTTGTAAATTGAATTTTGTAAATTTAGAAATTGTCTGTGAGTAGTTTAAAAAGGTTTTAGTAACGTATTAAAAATTAAAATCTATTAAGAGAGTTTATGGCAAAATAGATTTAGACCCTCAGCCCAAATTCCTTTTGGTGTGAATAATAACTTTTATTATACAATACGAAGGTAAGCAAATAATTGCAAAGATGAATTTTCAAAGCAAAACAGAACTTTTAGATCTGGATTATCTTAAACCTATGGCTACTGTGTTTTAGAGGTAAATAATATGTAGTTTATTTTTTAAGTTGTCATGTATCAAAGAACAATCTCAGATAAGCAGAAATTGCTTAAATAGACACTATTTCAGATTTTCATTTCTTGCTTTTCTGTTCTCATGAGTAATTGTGCAATTCTACAAAGTTCCACATTAAAAAAAAAAATGTCTGACAAGAAAGAGACCTAAAATATTTTGAAAAATCTAAGGAAGAAGGGCATAATGAGGGAAGGTAATTGGGAGGTAGAAACTGGGTCACAATATGAAACAAAATAGTGTGTGTTTGTTTCTCTTCCCATTTGTTCTGCAATAAACCTAATCCTCCTCAAATTCCTCCAAATATCTGAGTCACTTGTGTTCATGACACAATCTTTTCAGCTTCTATTTGATCTCTGCCATTCTTCCTCTCCTGCTCAAGCACCTAATCCTTCGAATTACCCAGGTAGCCATCCATGTGGCCCCTGCCCACACCCACACCCTGAGCTACTAAAGTGGGGCCCCAGTTGGGGACCGAGGACCCACTTTAGCCAGTGGAATTTTCCTCCCAGGTTAGGAAAAGATTCTGGCATGACTTTCGGTCTGCCCTCCACATCCAATCTGTCCTCTATGGGCTCTGGTGGTGATGGCAAGGAACTTTGTGCTTATCCCTTGCATGGGTGACCAGAAAAGCAAGCAAGGCTACCTTATGATCTTGTGAAACCTTTCATTATAGCAAGAGTCTTGGGAACGGATTGCAAAACTGTCAGATTAATAACTATTGCAGTATTCAAATGTGTTCCATCCCTCATCCACTGGTATATTGGTTTTAGAACTTACACTCAAGCTGGGTCCCTTATCACACTTGATTTTAAAACCTTACTTAACTAGGCAGGCCACCTGGCTTAAAGACAGAAACCTAGATTTAAATCCAGGTATTGATGTTAACTGAGTGGCCTCAGACAAGTCAGTGAGCCATTCTGAGGCTCATGGAGTTGACCTTCGATTTTGATCCTATCCTTGTGGAGCTGCTGTGGTGATATGACAAGATAATGTAAGCTCAGGGGATGGACGGATGGATGGATGAATAGATGGATGGTTGGATGGATGGATGGATGGATGGATGGATGGAGAGATGGATGATGGATGGAAACTGTGATGTGCTAGACAAGGATTTGCTGCTGTTGTCTTCACAGAAGTTTGATGCCTAAAGCATGAATTCAGCATCTCCTAAGTGCCTTGTATGTGTGCTAGGTTCTATAAGAGTTAAGTAAAAAGATCTGGTCCCTATCCGCAGGGACTGACAGGTGTGACAAGTGCTACATAGGGACAAACAAAACGCAAGGGAGGATGGCAATATTAATTCCAAATGGGAGCCTTGAAAAGGTCTGATGAAGACTAGCCCTAAAGAGGGCTTACGATTTCTCCAGATGAACATTAAATGCATTCATTCTAGGCAGAGGGAACAGCATAGCAAAAGCACAAAAGCAGAGGGGATGTGGCACCTATTCAGAAAACAGTCAACAGTGTAGTTGGCCAAGAGCGTGGACAAGGAATGGGACTGAGGAGCAGAGGGAGTGACGGCTTGAGGATGCCGTAGGACAGAGGCTTCCCTGGAATCCACCCAATACTGAGCTGAGGCGTGTGACTTCAGGCCGAATTCGATGAGGAGAAGCTGACAGCAAGTGACGTCATTCATTCAGTCACCCACAACTTATTTATCGTTACCTAGAGGTACCAAATACACGAAATACACCGGTGAAGAGGATACAGCCCTGACCTCAAGGAGACTTCCGTGTCAGGGAGAAAAATGGGCAACTGCACCAGAAACCTCCATCCTCGTGATAAATGCTGTGATGGGGTGAGTAGGGAGTGCCAGGGCATCCAGAGGAGAGACAGCTGACCCAGGCTGGGGGAGTCAAAGAGGGAGTTCCAAATTCAAGACTTGCCCACCAGGCCGCAGAGAGGTCCCTGGAGGGAGAGAGTGCAACAGAACAGGGAGAATGGGAAGAGAAGTGCATTTGAGAGACCTCTGTCGTGCTCCAGGTGAGGGGTCAGGGAATCTCATTTATGACAGTGGGGCAGATAATGAGCAAAAGAAAGGCATCGTTGCATGGACAGCAAGCCCATCAGCTATTTTTTTTTTTTTACAAACTTCATGAAATGCCGAATGTATTGAAAAAACTTTATGACTCAAACAGAAAACAGTTTTTCTTATTTGAAGTTTTCACTGGTTCTGCCAGCAAGTTCCCTAATCCTTCCAAATGCAAATTTAATATGAGACAGATGCGTTGTGATGAGTAATACAGAAGCCCAACTTCCTTGGCCCCGGTGGGCCGGAGCGCCTGCGAGCTGGCCTGGGGGTGCTGGGCAGTGTCTGTCCTCGGTCGACGCACGCAAACAGGTCTGAGCTCATTTCCTCTGTATCTGCTGGAGCGCCACTGAGTGTGCTTCTCGCCCCGCTTTCCTCTGTGACTATGTTGCCTGTTCCGTTTGCCCTGCACCACCACCACAACAAAAATGGAGATGAGAATCAACTCTTTATTTCAACAGCAGAGAAAGAATTATTTCGTTAATTGGTATATTGATATCCCAAGAACTGCTTACCGTGCCAAGTTATTAAGAATAAGTAGACGAGGGGCAAATTAAACTTTGAATCACCTGTTCCTTTGGGCAAGATACATAAACTAAATTGACTGCAACCAAATGTCATATTATTTACATGGCGTGAACAATTTATTTCCCAAAAATGTGCTCAACAAAAGATTTGAATTTGCTCTTAAGCGTATAATGGATCCCACTTAATAGTGACGCTCTCTGTGTGCCCTTCTCTCTATAATTAAATCATATGCAAAAATGTCACAAAACAAAATAAAATGTATTTATTTCAGCCATATCTTCCCACAGCATGACATGAAGTCTGAAAAAAAGAATCGCTAAGCATTTTTATGCCATCTGTGCTGGTAGGGGATACGTTTCCCAAGCACGTCACTGTAAAATGTTCCATTTTGAATTAAGCATAGTCTACTTATTACTATCTAGTATCTGGCCGAATGAGTACCATGTTGGACAAAATTCCAGATCTGATACAATATTCTTACTTTCGTATATGCTATTTTTTTTAGCAAAACTAGTCCACCATAATGTCTGTTACTGGATTTCAAGAGGTCCGAAAGAGAGGAGTCATCAACATATTATTGTATTTGTGTTAAAATCTCCATGCTTCTTCATCTGAATAAAGTTCCAAAAGTATTTTCTAACAATTGAAATTATAGCTTCTTATAAGCAGAATATGGATCACTGTGACAACTTGGGTAATGACATTATTTGGAGCTGATAATCCCCTGTTGCAGAAGGAGAGCTAACACTTTCTACAATCAAAAAAACTGTTGTTTCACTTAGCTTATGAAGCATAAAGTTATAGCCATTAAAACTTCTGCTTTTCCAACAAAATAAACCTAAGGCTTTCCTTTGCCGTTATTATGACTAAATTTTATGAATACTTGTAGAAAATTTTATCTCCTATACTCAATAAGGCCTTCTCACAGTTTGTTTATGAGATGTGAAAATCCCATAAATTTATCACGGGGCTGCTTGATTGACTCAGGGAAACACCAGAGTTCCAGCTTCAACACAAATGCAACACGACTTAGCGCAGTCTGCGTGATCCTTCCAAGTTTGTCTCCCAGATGCCATACATCACGTCATTGTTTGGAAACATACGTGAATAATAAAATGTAACCTTCTTTACGAATGAAAAACACTTTATTTTTTAATAAAAGATTTTATTTATTTATTTGAGAGAGTGAGCAAGAGAGAGCACAAGCAGGGGGCGGGGGTAGGGGGCGCAGGGACAGAGGGGAGGGAGGAGCAGTCTCCCTGCTGAACAAAGAGCCCGATGAGGGCCTCAGTGAAGGACTCGATCCCAGGACCCTGAGATCATGACCTGAGTGGAAGGCAGACGCTTAAGCGAGGCACCCTGAAAAGTACTTTATAACTGTGTTGAGCTCCTTCTAGTTATAATCTTCCCAAGTCAATGATATTTAGGCTAAAACTTCAAACATAGCTAAATTAAGAAGATAGGATTTACTTGAAAATAATTTAACATTAAGTTGTCCATTTTAATCATGTTAGAAAAGCTACAATTTTTCTAAAATTATCAGTTATACAGTTTGTCATAAAATCAAGGACTGGATTTACCTATCTTGATTCTACCCAAAGCTCTGAAAAGATTGAAATTTCCATGGAGTTTTGGAAGTCCCATGTCCTTTAAAACCAACCCCACTATCTCCTGTAAGCCACTTTTTAAAAAATTTAAATTCAATTAATTAACATATAATGTATTATTTGTTTCAGGGGTACAGGTCTGTGATTCATCAATCTTGTATAACACCCAGTGCTCATTACAACACATACCTTCCCCAAAGTCCATCATCCAGTTATCCAACCCCCCACCACCCCCTCCCCTCCAGCAACCCTCAATTTGTTTCCTAAGATTAAGGGTCTCTTATGGTTTGTCTCCCTCTCTGATTTTGTCTTGTTTCATTTTTTTCTCTCTTCCCCTATAATCCTATGCCTTGTTTCTTAAATTCCACATATCAATGAGATCATATGATAAATGTCTTTCTCTGATTGACTTATTTCACTTAGCATAATACCCTCTAGTTCTATCCATGTTGTTGCAAATGGCAAGATTTCACTTTTTGATGGCTGCATAATATTCCATTGTATAAATATACCACATCTTCTTTATCCATTCATCTGTCAAAGAACATCTGGGCTCTTTCCATAGTTTGGCTATTGTGGACATTGCTGCTGTAAACACTAGAGAGCAGGTGCCCCTTCAGATCACTACCTTTGTATCTTTGGGCTAAATACCTGGTAATGCAATTGCTGGGTCGTAGGGTAGCTCTATTATCAACTTTTTGAGGAACCTCCATACTGTTTTCCAGAGTGTCCCTTAAGCCACTTTTGATGATGATAGTGTGTGCAAAGGTGATTTGTGGACTATTAGATGAGACAAAAAGTTTTCACCCCCAATAATATTATTATGATGATCATGATAATTGTGGCAGTGACTCTTTCCAGTGTTGGTCCCACGTGTTCCCACATGAACACAGTACTTTTTTCTGTGATATTAATTTTATCAACTGATTGTCTTTATTTTGAACATTCTTTTGTACCCTGCCTTTGATATTGACCTTCAGTGTCTTCTGTCTATGGCTTATTCTTCCATGTAACTGCAGGGTAGGGTCCAAATCACAGATGTTGAAGTATCCTATAGGAATCATTAGAGGCAGTCCAAAATACATCTGTCAAAGCACTGAATGGATTCTGCTTGTGTCCCTATTCTAATTCAAACAAACAAACAAAAAGCCCACCCGAAAAAGACTTTGAGTCTTTTTTTTTTTTTTTTTTTTTGTTAGTGAAAATATGACTTTCCTTTGGGTCAGCTATGATTCCTTACGTATTCACCTCTTAGATGGAGCTGAGCTTTTCCTCAGGTCCAGGGAGGACCACCTTTACCAAAAGAGCAAATGAATCCATTTCAAATTCTCACTTTTTTTTCTGTGAACTATATTCTCTGGTCACCTACATGAATATTTTCAAATGAGATTTTTTCAAGTGCTTTCCCTTCCTAACTTTCATGGAGTACTAGAGGTTGTGGCCATAATATTCTAGCACAAAATATGGATTAATTTTCAGTCTGAAAGTTTGAAAGTTCACGTACTGATTTTGCCAATTGCAAAGGATGCTGATATTTGAATAAACACTTCCAGAACTGAAGCTAATACCATTCAATGGTATACATGGTTATTTCCTCTTTCTTTTGAAATCCAGAAGGGTAGGTCTACTTGTTCCTAATTTTGTTATTAGTTATTAATTTTTCTCTAGGTGCTCTGCTGAACCTTCTTTGGACGAAATATCACAAAAAAAAAAAAAACAAAAATGTGCAGCAATACGGATTTAAATGAGAAGTTAATTCTGGTCGTACCTTTTTTAATTAATAAAAACAGTCATGATCAGGATACATTACACTGAGCAAACTTAGGATAAAATTAACTACAGTGCATGGCTTCCCATTTGATGTTCAGGAACCTGGTTTAGAGAAAGAAAGGAAGTACCACCATTCTTCAGCCTGGAGAAGACAAGGTGATGGTGGCAGCAGATGGCTCCGTTTCTGAAGGAGATGTGTTCCCTCACCTCTCCATTAAATGTCTTTACATTAAGGGTCATGTGCCTGCAGTTTTCTCCAAGTGCCTCTAGGGGGTAATCTTCCATTTTTGGTAACGACCTCTCTAGTTGGTATGGGACCAACCTCACACATCTTTCAAGGAGAAGCCTTACTCTCTTGTGACATAATCCACTGCCACAGGGTTAACTAATCTTTTATACTCATTATTCTTCTTGTGCCTGATAGCTGGGAAGAGTCTTGCATCAGGTAAGCATACCTCTTAAAAGGCATAGTCTCCTCCATGCATGTGCCTTTACTGTCTGTCACAAACATCCCACCCAGTGGCGGTCACTTCCACCTCTCCAAAACCAGAGCTAAGCCTCTTCTCAGCTCTTCTTCTATAGGGGTATTCCAGTTCCCTCACCTTGTACAACTTAGATCTTTTTGTTCTTCCTCTTATTCTCCTATTCACTTTCATCTGTAGCCTATACTTAATCTGGAAATCTCCATATTATCTTATAACACAGCTCCTAAATGTCATTTTATCAAATGAACTACAGAAGTGAAAGGACTTCACCTGTGATGATAGCAAAATTCTCAGAAATTGTTAGGTTTGCTTTTCTGTGGAACATGAACATTATGACTTTTGCATCAACAATTAGTAATGTAGCTCATTTAATTTGGTTTTGATATTTCAAAAGACAAAAAAATGCACGTCCAACCATAATTTTAAAAACAAAACAGAACATGTTGGTGGCTACTTTAAGAATCATTCAGTGACAAGTAGTATTTTGAAGAAATGGTCACTATAATGTGATATTGCCTGGGAAGAACGAACTCCCAAGGGAGGAGAATCACAGTGCCGATAGTAACAGCATTGGCAGGCTGCTTACTGAATCCCGGGCTGTGTGTTAAACAATGTATCTGCTTTATCACATTTTATCTTCACCACCCAATGAGGCAAGTATTGCTGTTCCTACTTTACAGATGAGGGAACCGAGGCCCAGAGAAGTTATACCATTTGCCCACGATCGCATAGTATTGGAAGTGGGACTCCCTCAATCTGTGTGCCCTAAAGCACAGAATCCTATCCATTCCCATTGATGTATCAATAACAGCACGACAACTACAGGTCTTCTCAGTGGCAAAAGGATTCACTACTAATCCAGAAATAAAATAAACTTTCCCCCCAATTTCTCACGATCTCTAAATCTATACTGGTCAGCTGGAACAGCTAGGCAGTGAAAAGGCAATGGAAGTATATGAAAGGGTGAGAAGAAGAGACAGGAAAACTTAACAGGTTGGAAAAGAACCGTCCTTCCCTGGAGTAACGTGAGCCTATGGGTTATGAGGTCCTTGTGGAAAGTTGACCTCAGTTGGCCCAGATTGGTAGCAGTGCCCTGAGGACACCTCTCCTGAGAGTCTGGAAGAGTCAGCTCTCCCCGCTGGCCGCACATGGGTGGTGGGGAGGGGGCATTTTCCACCACAGACTCTACCATGCAATTATTTTTATGTCAAAATCATAAGAAGACCTTGGACTTGGCACACAGTGTTAATAGACCTGCACCGAGTTAGGACCCTGTTTGTCCTTGGTCTTCTCCTCAGCAAGAGCCCCAATAAATATGCAAATTACAAAAGTGTCTTCCAAACATAAAAATATCTTTCCTTATAATCCCAGGAAGCTCTTAGCTTCTACATTTTATTAAAGCCACAGTTATTATTTTAGAACAAGGTCTTGTGCCTTCTTGGTATATACTTAAAACTTGCAAATCTCTTTTTAATGTCTTAAATTTGCAGCCAGCATTGGAAATTTGCAATTACCCTACCTTGGTCAACTCAGAAGGTTTTACTCCCTCAACCTAAATATGCCAGCCTTAACTTCACATGCAATTCTCTAAATGGAAGTTACCAAAAATACAACACAGATAACTGAATTTTTTTCTACTTCAGTTATTTTAATTGCCTGAAACTATATTTTGCTTAGACATCAGGGTAAATAGGAATTTGCCCCAGAGAAAGCCTTTCGACCCAAGTCATTGAATGATTTTTATTAGTGCACACACACATACACACACGTGCGCACACACACACACAATCTGAGAATACATAAACACTTCAGCAGGACTTTTTCCTGGGAAAAAGAATACAGCATGCATTGATTAACACAATTTCTTGCTTCCTTCTCTTTTACTGGAGCCTGAAGCCCAGATGAGAGAGCTTTGCTGGGGAGTCGGGAGATCTGGGTTCAGGGCATGCTTTTGGCACTGAAGAACTGTGTGATCTCCAGAACATTCTAGATTTCTTGCCTTCAGTTCCTTTCTTTAACACAAACATCGGTATGCCAATTCGATTTTAAAATATTCACAGACTTGACCTAATCATTTTTTAATACTAGGGACTAAACCTAAGAAGATAATTAAAGACAGGAAGAAACATAAATACCTAGATATTTTAAATGTGTGTTTAATAGTTATGGAGAGACGGAAATAAGTTAAATGTCCACCAATATAAAAATGGTCAAATAAATTATGTTTTATTACTATGATGGAATATAATGTTGCCATTTAAATGAATGAGAGCATTTTAAGGTCATAATAAAATTATCAAAATATAAAATCAAGTTAAAAATCAAGGTATAGGGGTGCCTGGGTGGCTCAGTCGTTAAGCGTCTGCCTTCAGCTCAGGTCATGGTCCCAGGGTCCTGGGATCGAGCCCCACATCGGGCTCCATGCTCGGCGGAAAGCCTGCTTCTCCGTCTCCCACTCCCCCTGCTTGTGTTCCCTCTCTTGCTGTGTCTCTTTCTGTCAAATAAATAAATAAAATATTTTTAAAAAAATAAAAATCAAGGTATAGAACATATGTGATAGAGTCTTACTCGTGCACTAATGTGTGTGATTAAGTACACACAAGGAAGCACATAATGGCAGTGATGGCTATTTCTTGGTAGGGAGAGGATACATGACTGTTCTCTTCATCCTTTGCTTTGTTTACCACCTCTTCTACAATAAACAGTATAATCAGAAAAAAAAAAAGTTACCTTAAAAATTAAAATATTGGCTTGAGCTAAATTCTCTCTAAATTTCTTTACAATTTTAAACATTTATTCCATAACCAAAAAAAAAAAAAAAAATTCAAAAGTAACACATAGGATTTGGAATTCCCAAAAACAGTCCTCAGGACAGAAACATTTTGTGCCATGGTCCCAGCTCATCCAGGGCAACACGGTAGAAGAGCTGCGTGCTGGGGCCATAAAGATCCCATAACCCCTTTTAGGAACCCCCAATACGACTGTTCTCCATCATGACATAGGTTTCCTCCTCTAGACTCTATCTTTAGGCTTTTGAATCCTGCAATAAGGTAGGAGCATCCTAACTTATGTAAGAATCATCCCTTTGCTCTTCTATCTCCCCACACATTTCAAATGATTTTTGCCTCCAGACCTCCAGAACATGGGATAGTGATTCAAGTCTCTGCTTCCCTTTTTATACAAAATGCTTTTAAGGTCACTCTTTCTACACTAAAAAGCAGAAAAGTACCTTAGTGGGTGTCTGGAAGTTCCCAAAGCAGCAGTCCCCACCCACACTTGACCAGCACTTCGTGAGTTCCTGGTTTAAAATTGTAGAGTGGTGGTGTCTAGTTCCTCCGCGATCTTCAGGCTTTACTCTGAGCTCCCAATGGTAAAGATACTTAAATGCAGAAAGGTTGGCATGCGTTCCCTTGAGCAGCTGCTAACTGAACATTTATGACGAGGCAAAAAAAAAAATCCAAAGTAACCAAGTAGTTCTTTCACTACCCTTTGTAAGAGAATGCATGACTCAGGAATGCACAGCCATCCACAGTGCTCCTCCCAAAAAATGCTGTTGACCTGGAAATGATTTCTTATGTGAAATCTCCTTTCCCTCTGGCTTAGAGGGCATGTTGCCATCCAGTCTGAACATGGAACAGAGGAGCGAGAATTTGACTCATACCATTTCCAGCTCCCAGTGCCTAGTCATAGGATCATAGACACATATTCTACTGCATACCAACCCATCTACATTACCTTCCTGTAGAGCCATAGCAAAGCCATGGCTAACTCATGGAAAGGGTTCTATTATAGGGACCATTCAGGAGAATCGCAGACTCCAAGTTTGTCAGTTGTCACTCTCAGGTCAGGAAATGATTTCATGTATTCAACTTATACCTCTCATAACAGTGTGTCAGTTTCTTACTCAATTTTCACTCAAGGTGGAAGATAGCTGGGCATTATCTCTATGACTATTATTGCCATGACAGTCACTGTGGCTAATGGTGCTGTGGCCACTTGGGGTGCCTACCTTTACCTCAGTCACCTCCTTTAATCTTTACAGCAATCATAAGTCGGAGGTCTCGTGTTTACCTTTTTATACACAGGCAAATGAAAACTCAGAGCGATGAAGACATTTGTCCAAAGTGCAGCTAGTTAGTAGCAGAGCTAAAATAGCAACCCAGGTCTCCCACATCACCTACTTGTATAATTGAAAGCTACTCATTTCCCCCTTTCTTAATCTTCATTAGGCGAATTGTCCCAGACTCTCATCCTATTTCCTAACCCAGAACTCTATTCCTCTAAATTCGTTGCTGATGTTGTTTGTTGAGAAGAAGGGGCACTAGATTAGTATTTTCTCTGGAACCTACTCTTTTAAGACCTGCCCTTTGGGTTTGATCTGAGGGGTTGGGGGAAGGAGAGTTAATTTTAACTCGAGGGTAACAATGTCTGCTCCAAAATCTCTCAGGTTGGAAGGGGCTAAGGAGAGTCTCTTGGAACTGTGTTTGCAGAGTAAGCACAGAATTCTTACTTAGATTGTACACTTATTTGAGTCGGTTTGGTGGGGAGAGACATAGAAAGGCCACAGCACGAGGTTCGAGGGTACCCCCACCCAGCCACTTTTGATGCTACCAATCCTGAGGAATTGTGGGCAACAATTATTTTGGGTGGAATACTTCAGGGGATTTCTCTAGAAGCCCAAGGGGTGCATGAAGGCACTAGCTGCTGGAAATACAGCTCCTGGGGCGCACGATGGGGCCTGGGAGAGGTTAGGTGTCACACAGCACGTGAGCACAACATGACAGAGTACTAAGCCAGATGGGATCCGAGTGACATCCATCAGAAGAGGAGGAGTAGCTCTGCTTCCTCAGGTAGCATTTCCATCAAAGGAGCTCAGCACTTTTCAATTATAAGCCAACATTTCGCTTCTGGGTCAGGATGGGTCAGAAGATAAATTGGCTTTTTCAGTTTTGAATTTCCAATCTTGGAGACTAGAATCCTTTCTGATTTAATGTTCCAGTTCTCCTAGGGCACCTGGGTGGCTCGGTTGGTTAAGCGACTGCCTTCGGCTCAGGTCATGATCCTGGAGTCCCTGGATCGAGTCCCGCATCGGGCTCCCTGCTCGGCAGGGAGTCTGCTTCTCCCTCTGACCCTCCCCCCTCTCATGTGCTCTCTCTCTCAAATAAATAAATAAAATCTTTAAAAAAATAATAATAATGTTCCAGTTCTCCTATGCAAAGCCCAGGTAACACGTCTTTTCTGTTTTTTCTGGGTGCTTACCTAATTTAGGGATTTTGACTTCCAAGTCCAAATAACCTTACTCAGAGGAATAGCGAAATACAAGTAGATGAATTGAGTGATTACAAAATGTTAGTTGCTCCATCTTGTTTTCCCCTCCCTGTGGGGGCTTCTTCAATCTGTCTGCATACAGGCACTCACTTCGTCTTCACTCCTCCTTCACTCAGCTCCTTCATTTCCTCAGGTGGCCAGGGCTGTAATTGGCCACAGAGGATGGGCAGGAGAAGCACACACATGTCCCTGGTCCTCTTGCAGTTACAAGAAAAGTTGTGCACTATCCAAGCTGTGTTACAAGAGGTAAAACTGTCCTACTCCTTAATAGACACTTTTCCCCGTGAATGGAAAACAAAGGAAGGTTCTGTGTGTTCACCAGCTGTCCTGCACAGGTAGTGCACTAGCCGGACCATGTCCTTGACTCTGTTTCTTTTGATTATCATTTGTCTATTCACTTAGTTAATGTTTCTTGAACACCTGTCCAGTAATAGGCTCTGTTAAGTGCTAGAAATGGAAAGAAAGAGGAAGGAAGGAAGGGAGGGAGGGAGGGAGGGAGGGAGGGAGGGAGGAAAGAAGGGAGGGACACAGGGAGAGGGGCAGAAACCCAGGCCAGATTCCTACTTTAAGGAGACTGCTTCCAAGTTCAGGAGATAAGCTGTACAAGGGCCACAGACAGATGCCAACGAAATGCCATCAGAGCCTGGTTTTAGAGATGAGGAAAGTTTTCATAAAACATTTCACCTAGACTTCCAAAGCAAGGCAGATGGGAAAAGCACAGTCTAGGCTGAGGGATAGCGTGAGTCAAGGCTTTGAACAGAAGCAACAGGTTTGCAGCAGTCGTGGCCCAGGAGAGCCTGGAGAGAGGAGGGGGCCGAGGAGTAGCAGAGGGTGTTTGAGGACACGCCCGGAAGCCTGGCTTGATGCCACAGGCAGTAAGTTGCTGTTGAATATTTGCAAATACATGAGCGGCATAATCACCACTGTGCTTGGGGCCAGAGAGGGTGGCAACTGCTCTGGGGAGCTGGGGCCGGAATCAGGTGAGCGGGCCAGGAGGCGACCGCACTGCCAGGGCAAAGAGCAGGAAGCCAAACCCAGGCGGCCAGTGGAAACTGCAGGAGATGGCCAGCAGGGGCCGTAGCACTGCTGGGGCCCCCCAGGCATCACCCATAACTGAGCAGCAGTTCATTACATGGATGGTCAGGGCGCAGGGAGGGAGAGAGAGAGATTGGGGAGCATCCATGTGAAGCCAACAACTGAAAATGTTAAGCTGAATAAATTACCAACCCAAATCTTGTGGTGAAGAAGCAAAGTAAGCCGAGAACAGTTCTATTCAAGAGCACCTGTATGTGAGGGCGCCTGGGTGGCTCAGTTGGTTAAGCGACTGCCTTCGGCTCAGGTCATGATCCTGGAGTCCCTGGATCGAGTCCTGCATCGGGCTCCCTGCTCTGCAGGGGGTCTGCTTCTCCCTCTGACCCTCCCCCGTCTCATGTGCTCTCTCTCTCTCTCTCAAATAAATAAATAAAATCTTAAAAAAAAAAAAAAAAAGAGCACCTGTATGTGAGAGGGGGAAGGGGGGAGAAGATGAGCCGGAGGGTGACCTAGAGGGCCAGAGCTTGGAGAGCAGAAGAGCCCCAGGTCAGAGAAGCCCACAGTAGAGAGTTTCCGAAACCAGGGTCTGGACACTATGTGGAAGCCACAGAGAGGGAAGGATGTGAAGACCAAGCCTGAGGAAGGGCTCCAGGCTGCGGCATCTCAGAGAATGTGTGGCCTCCGAGAGAGAAGTCACAGCAGAGCGGTGTGGGTAGAGGCCAGTCCACAGATGGCTGAGGGATGGTAAACCCCTCTTCTGAGAAACTGGGATAATGGACAATGGGAGTAAAAGAGCATTGAGAAAGAATGAGAAAAGGGAGGGTTTCTTTGGGGGGAGGGGGGAGGTGCGACCATGTTTTCCCAATCAGAAGAGCCTTGTGAAGACACCTGAGCTGGCTCGGGTTCCTCTCAGGCGCTTATATGGCCTCGCGGACTTGTCCGCAGCTCTTACCCACTCACCATGGCTCAGTAGGTGCGTGTCTTCCCCACTCCAGCACTTGTTCAGCAGAGGCTCCCATCTGCTCCACCTTGTTCTCCATCTGGCACTTCAAAGATGGCCAACTGCAGATTCAAGACAGAGCAGGGAGCATTCATGTGAGAAAGTTCTGGAATAGGGAAAAAATAGATCGAGAGCAGAAGGGGCCCGGCCAGGAGGAACAAGAGTGAAAAGGAAGACAGAGAGAATGTGAGGAGGGTCCTGTGCAACGTCAAGCCTGTCTCCCATGTTCAAGTACACACTGAGGCCGGTGCTGCCAGATGCTGGAAACATCCATTCTCCCTTTATTCCTTAATAACCAAATTGCTGTTTTGTTCAGACCACTGCCCTCAGCAGCAAGACAAGATTCATAACTACCCCTAAAGTTGGGCATGTTGACTAATTTGTGGCCAGTGACAGAGGGGAAGTGTTGTGTGGCCTTCCGCTGGGGAGGGCAGATCTCTTGTCCTTCCTGAGCCTGGAACTCAGATGAGAAGGCTGAAGCTCCAGCAGCCATTTTTGTGTATGAAACAATCTTGAGACAGAAGACACATGCAAGACATTTAAATACAAAAGTAGAAGTCCAGTTCTCCTATGACTTTGTGGAGCTCTTAGGCTTCTTAATAGCCAGATTGTTTCCTTCCTGACTTTTATTGACATGAGAAAGAATTAGTGTCCGTCTCCCCTGAGCCAATATTATGTAGGGTTTTCTGTCACATGCAAGCAAACCTAATCTTTACTGCTAGACATACTAATAAAAGTTTGTGCATTGATAAGATGGGCCACATCTCCAGGCTCCCTGGGTCGGTGCCATAATGACCAAATGCCCAGCTTCTCCATCTTCCCCACAACCAGTCCAAAGACACAAGACAGAAAAGGAGGAATCAGGCACAATGGTTTCAGCCTTTTATATCATTGATAATTTTGTAGAACTCATTGTTTCAAATTGCCATTCAAAGATAAAACACTCATGTATCACAAGCAAATTTTGATAAAAGTACATGTGACAATTCCTATTTGTGTTGATAGAGCTTTTTCTTTAAAAAGGCCGAATTCCTTCTGTTCTTATAGAATTAAAGTTTTTACTTTTCATTTGTTATGAGCTGAATTTTCAATTTGATGAAATAAGTCACAGAGACTTACCACTTGGGACTCAGTAAAATACCTTAACTTTTAAACCGTAGGTTTCTTTTTTAGAAATGGAAAGATGTTTTATGGTAAAAAGCTTTGCAGCTTGGACTGCACTGATAGCTTGTTATTCTTTGCTTATGCGTGTCATCTCAAAGGTGAGGGGGATCCACAGAACCCCTGCTAGGGAACTGAGCCAGAAGGAAAGAAGCAGGCACAGTGGCAACTCCGTCTCTACCCTCTTTATCACTGACCCCTTGCTTATTTCCGAAGGAAATAAGGCACGGAGCCCGCAAGTGACCTGGGTGCCACCTTGGACAATGAGTATTCCTTTTAGGAGAATCTTACATGGCTAGCTGTCCTTGCATGTCCTGTGCTTGTGACCAGCTCCCTGGAGGCAGAGGACCATCTCCGAAAGCTCTTTATAACTATCTTAGCAATATCCAAAGTGTAAGCCATGAATCATCATCTAGTTCTAACCCATCTATCTACAAACGAAATTCTGAAGCCTGGACAAGTGAGCTACTTGCCCGAGGCTACACAGACAGGGGCTGTGACCTGGCATGGATCACAGCCCTCGTGAAATGCTCATGAACATTGAACACATGCTTGGCTCGCTGAATGACTGGCTCAAGTCATCCAGTGGCTAGACTTGTTTCAAGAGGTCTGTCTACAGATGACATTGACTCTGATATCACTTGTATTGCCTGGCTTTCTGTTCTGATCATTACACTCCTTTCCAAGCCATACATAATTGTTGTTTTCATCCTGTTTGCCCTTGTTCTTCACCTATTCTTCCATCTGGCCTGCATCTTTGAAAGGGATTGAGCTTTTTGATCAAG